CCCTCTTCTTGCCCCCCCCCAAACTTTGCCTGCTGTTTTTCTGAGCCTTGTTATTTTTCCCTCCCTTCTCTCTCTCCAAGCCTTTTCTCTCCATCCTTTCTTACTCTCTGCCCCCCGTCCCCTCCAGTCCACACTCCCCCTCTCCCCCCTCTCCACAGTAACTCCTTCACTTCCAGGCAGTCGCTTCTCTCAAAGTGGAGTCCTGGTTGGCCGTCACTACCAGGTCCATGAACGCACCATAACTGGACTTGATTTTCGTGACCCCCACCGACCCTCCCCCGGTCAACACTCACCTTTCCAAACTGGTCGAAGTACTGCTTGACATCCTCGATGGTGGTGTTCACCGACAGACCCCCCACAAAGATCTTCTTGGTTCGAGTCACCAACTGGACAAAGAGAAACGACACAAACGACGTGAACGTTTGAACATTTTTACGTCGTTCGTCCTCTAATGTCGAATGTCTCAATAATTCATTAATAGTAATAATAATAATAATTAGAATGGTTTAACCGTCTGTCGACGGCAAAAAGTTACGTTCCACAGGCTGCTAGACTAAAATTAGCCTAGCTCAGCCGCAGCTAAAATTAGCCTAGCTCCGCTGTGCCTAAAATTAGCCTAGCTCCGCAGCGCCTAAAATTAGCCTAGCTCCGGCGCGCTTAAAATTAGCCTAGCTCCGCAGCGGCTAAAACATAACCACCGCAGAAACGCTGTCGTAATAAAGAGAAAAAATATATCCGTTTTATGACTCAGTTTCAAACTTCTCAAAGTTAATACATATATGTTTATATAACTATTGTAATTATTAGCTGAACGCAGAAATAAAGGTAAGGAAAACCGTTCACTTCCATAGCTCTCAAACTCAAACGCCAGTACACCTTTTATCAACCTGTACACGAATCACAACAAAGAAAGAAAAATAACAATTATAACCGTTATATGAACTCCTAAAGGATACTCTGATGAAGTCTATATATTAGCAAATTATGTATATTAAGTCTATATATTGTTAAATCTTTTTGGTTTTTTTTTACATATTTTAATCATGTAAGCTGTTTTAATCACTAATCTGAAAATGCTTCACTTTTTAGTTAGGGTTAGAGTTAGGGACCAGGACCAGGACCAGAACCAGGCCATAAGTCATTATTATTTAGTTTATTATTCAATTCTGTTCTTTAGAATATAAATATAATGTTGCTAATCATGCTATTAAATTATATTATTAAAAAATAATGTATTTCACAGATAATCAGTGAAAGATTTTTTTTATTTTGAAAAATGACCAATTTAGTCTTTTTTTTACAAAATAAAATCATCTCACAAAACACCTAAGGACTGGTGAAAAGTCTCTTCAAAATGAAAGGTTTTAGTTCTGCTTCTTTAAAAAATAAAAAGGTCACAGGGACGACGGGACAGTTCAATGAGGCCCAGTTTGACCTCGATGACCTTTACACTTACACTATAAAGTAGACGTTGGGACCAACTCACACACACACAGAACAACAGAACAGACAGGTTCTTACCTTGGGCTGAGCTCGACGTGGGAATGCGACCTTGGGATCGATCTGAAGAGGAGGAGGGGGAGAAGAGGGGAGAGAGCGCCGGTTAGAGCTGCGTGGTGATGCAGATGCATCAACAACCTATCAGGTTTCTCCCATCTTCTGTGACATCACAGCTTCCTCTTTAATATAATGACTCAACCACCAAGGTGTAACCGACCCAGGTGGATCCCGGTCTCCTCCCCTGGGACCGCGTGTCCACCATGCCTACTTCAAATCAGAGCAGCGACGTCAGAGAGAGAGACACCTGCTGTCTCCACCACACACTCACGCCCTCACTTTACTGGATCTGTTTGTTAAATAAAACAATCTCGTCTTTCTTCGTTTTCTTCTCGAGGCCACCAGGGGGCACCAGGGAGTCTGTGCGGGGAGGACCAGTTGTCTTTTCTCATCAATTCATCTTGGAGGATCCATGCAAACCAGGATCTGCTTCAGAGTCTTCCCCTATGACTGACCTCCAGGGGGCGTCCTGACTGCGGAGGAGCAAGAGGGACATCCGAGCTTTCGCGTCTATCTATGAGGCTGACGCTAGCTGCAGAAAAAAAAAAACCCCACTGTCGATGACCGTATTTGAGATCTGGTTTTTCCGGGTCACGACCCACAGTTCTCTCGGGACTCTAGGTTAGCGTTAGGGAACGTAGAGTCGCTGCTTTTCGACTGCTTCATTGTCAATCAGACCTCATGATTGGACCAAATTGTTCCAACTGTTCAAAAAGTTGGTAACTGTGCGTTCGCAGCCACTGACGAATTAATATCGTCGATTAATCTACTACAGATCTGAGCAAGCCGAATTACCTTTGAAAGTTCAGGATTTGTTCTCGTACATTTTATTTAAATTATTGCGCCCGCCAGTCAAATTTTGGACCTCGTTTTGGGCCGAGAGCCAAACGTTTGCCCACCTCCGGTCCACTTTATATGATGGTCATCAAACTAGTTAAATAAATAAATAAATAAAAAGCTCATTCTCTGTTTTGTGTCGTTTCACCCTAAAATAAACCACCAGAGAATGAATCATAATAATCTGACTGGTGCCACTAGGTGTCACCAAAGTTAGCACTGGAGAGAGAAGCACACCATGCCATGAAGATGTCAGTCTGTGGTCTCAGACCGCCTCTATATTAGTCTACGCTCAGCTAGACTACTCCACGCTGTGCTGCGGGTACAGCCGCCGACGGTGAGAAGGTACAGCGCTACAGATTAGTCCGGAACCACGAGACGGCAGAGGTCACTACGGCAGAGACTACGGCCTCTACGGTTCAACCACATGCGTTTACCAGAGTGAGGCAAAAAAAAAAAACCAAAGATTTGATTTCTACTCAAAGTTGACGTCAACGCCACTTTGAACCACGAGTTGTCACTTTTGTGCGTGTAGAGCAGAGTGAGAAGACTAGAAGCTAAAGACTTGGAGGATAAGATACAGAGTCTACTGTTTAGTTGCTATGGTTGGCTAGACTAGTCTGATAGTCACCTCCGGTCACCGACCTGCCCGCTGTCCAAACCTCCTGTGTACATTCAAGACAACAAACAGACACGACACACATGAGCAAATAAACTACAAAAAAAAAAACAGACACACCCAACAGCACCAAACAACCAGAGGGAAACCACAGGAGCCGCTGCGTCTGCGGCCGTGAAAACAAAAACATTTTTTGGTATTTTTTGTATTTTTACCAGAGTGAGGCAAAAAAAAAAAACCAAAGATTTGATTTCTACTCAAAGTTGACGTCAACGCCACTTTGAACCACGAGTTGTCACTTTTGTGCGTGTAGAGCAGAGTGAGAAGACTAGAAGCTAAAGACTTGGAGGATAAGATACAGAGTCTACTGTTTAGTTGCTATGGTTGGCTAGACTAGTCTGATAGTCACCTCCGGTCACCGACCTGCCCGCTGTCCAAACCTCCTGTGTACATTCAAGACAACAAACAGACACGACACACATGAGCAAACAAACAGAGGAGAAGCACAGGAGCCGCTGCGTCTGCGGCCGTGAAAACAAAAACATTTTTTGGTATTTTTTGTATTTATTTATGATCAGGCATCTACACAGACAACCAGCACAGGGGAAAACAATGTGTTTTTGTAGTTAGAGAAAAGTCACAAATTTACAGCTCGCAGATCGCCCCCTACAGACTGAGGTTGTCAACAGTCACACCAGTTTGCATCAAACTGCAGTATAAAGTATATGTTTATATTATGTTGTATTTAAGTACAACAGAGTACAGTAAATGTTTCCAAAATGGGACTGGCTGCCACTCTGTAAAAGAGTCCACTGTAGATTGATGTCGATGAGAATGATCTTCAGATGTTTATCAAAACCACAGAACGACCCCTGGAACAACCGACAGGAACAAGACGACAATCAGGTCAACAGCCAATCAGCATCCAGGTGGGAACTCACAGCCGAGAAGTTTGAAAAACTCCTCAAACACAGGAGACCACAGGAGCGTTTTTTTTTCTTCCTTGAACAAATCTTTAAATCTTTTGCCCTCCAACACTTTTTGCCCTTGCAGCAGGGCGAGAAAATAATTCCCTGAGAGGTTTACGAAACGAGGCCAATCCACTTTGAGGAGCTCCATCCCCGCCATGCAACAGTTGGCTGAGAGCACCGCCCGTCACAGCCGGGCCTGGACGCACACTCCCCACTACAGGCCAACTGGGTCGGACCCCCCCTCACCTCCCCCCTCTCTGAGGAACAACTCAAGCTTGTTGACTCAATCCTATTAGTGAGGAGAGCCATACAAATCACAGATGGGCTTATTCTGCCCCCCCCCCCCCCTTTTTCTTTCCAACCACCTTCGTATGGAACAGATGAAACCAGGTGACGCGGGGGCGGGGGGTGGACGACGAAGGGGGGGCAGACATATATGCCTGCTAGCCACTTTGCAAACAGCAACACATCCGTACTGAGGCTGCGTTGAATAGAAACTTTCGCACAAAGGTGCAGTTTTACATCGGCCGTCAGTGAGGGGGCGGGCGGTTACATAAATCAAAGTAAAACTTCCCTTCTTCACAGTTCAAATCTGTCCTTCAACACAATGAGTACCAATAAACGCAGAACTGTTTGCACTCCCAGCTCCGCTAACTCCACTAACGCCGCTAACCCGGCCGCCGGAGCCGCTCACGCAGGGCCGCATTCTTTCTGTTGCCACTGGAGAACTTTTCTATCTCCCCTCTTTAACAGGATGACCTGTCAGTGTGAGAAAGGAGCAGGGTGGTGA